ATTGACGTCAGCATTCAAACTTGATTGATCGCCAATGTCCTGAAACTGTGACGCGCCGCTCCAGGGCAGGCGCTATCGTGTAGGCCTGGATCACCACACTAACGCACTGCTTTAATATTCTCTTTTACCGCGACTGCTGGAAGAATAATAACATGATTTGGTTGTGCGTCCTTGCTGTCTAGAATGGTTTTGTAACAATAGGTGCCAATGGAACACTGCGAAGCGTGTGATGGCAAGCCTTTTTGTGAACCACGTTTTGGTTTTGACCATTGCTTGCATACCAGCGTATAAAAACAGGTGAACAGTGGCACTCCTAACTGTCTCTTTTTTCAGACACAGTCGGATACCAAGTAACAGACAACTACTCTGAGAACCTCCACCCGTCACAAAGAAGTATACCTACCACCATAACCCGGGCTATTCACAAACTGCGGTTCCCAAGCCCAGCAATCCCCGTAAAAATTTGAACCGCCCGCTCAAGGTCGTTCAGTTTCGGGTTCACCTCTTACACGTCTTGACACCATGGACCATCAGCACGAATCCGAATGAAATTCTACTGAATTAACATATCTAGTCCGTCAACCTTCCGTTTGCTTTCCGTTTGATTCATTGCTTAGTCAGGTTACATTCAAAGTTCGCGGATGGTGTTTCTGGGCCAATCAGCTTGAGGCACTGGGCGTATTAGGAACTTGCCAGTAGGGCTTGTCTATGTAAGCCGCTGTTGATGTGCATGTTGAAGTGACGGTTGAATATCTTCTTCTCGGTAGAATTTACCCAATGTTTTAGCCGAAAATTTTTGTGTACATTTGGGAAAAATTTTACGATTGATTTACTGTTTACCTGGCAGTCGAAGCTCTGTCGGCACAGGGCTACACTCAGTCACGTTTTGTCGCTAAGGGGTACCTCACTGATTAAATATAAAAACTAACAAATGAGTGCTACATGGCCGATAAAAATTCAATCGACTATATCGACATTTATAAATGCATTGTTTGGTGTAAGATTTTTATGTAAAAAAATAATGTTGCAACATTTGAAATTACCATTTTCAATGCGTCATGTATCAAGGTAAAATCAATTCTTGAGTAACGAAATGCATTCAGTGTCTAAATTTTCACTTAGTTAATATTTTGGGTAGTTTTAAAGTGTTTCACTTGTTGGAGTCCGCTGTCCGAGTGTCTCCGGTCCATGAATGGTGTCTGTGCTTTCGTTGAGATGATTCTAGAACAGAGAGTACTGAAAGGGCATTAGGTGGGTTTCCCCATTCGAGGACAAAAGTAAAATGAAACACTAGGTTCGCTCGAGTAATCCAAGAGGGGTTAGTGATGAGATGGAGGGAAAACTGGAAAAGGAAGATGTGCACGGCGTAAAGCGTTTTTTCATGCGTGAAGATAACTGGAAGAACGAATTATTGATTAAACTGAAGTTCACTAATTGCACTGTGGGCTGTTAGACTACGTCGCCTAGTGCAGAGTAGGCCTTGTTCGCGGATGCACTCTAGCCTTTACGCAACCAAGCGCGAGCTACAAGGCAGTAGTATCGTTCCAGATAAGCCGGTAACTGGTCGGTTGGTTCATTCGCCTTCTCTGGAAGACCTTGTCGAGTAGATGAAATTCGACAAGAGGGCAATGGCCGTATTCAGTGGCGAGCCACACTCATCACGTCATAAGATGTTTTGTGTGGAGAACCCTTGCCAAGTGGTAAACCCACCACATCCTCGAGCACTGCCGCTGATCGTCCGCGACCGCTTATTCAGTGAGAATAAACCCACATTCACAGTTGGCGGCTGTTCCCCTATCCGCGACCTAGGGGCGCGCTCGGTAGCTTACAGCTCTGCTCTTGCCAACGCAGTACGGGCGAGGGAATCTTTCCCATTAGCTGGAGAGAAGCTGTTATTTGCCACATCTACAAAAGGGCGACAGACACTTACCTGCTAGCTACCGCCTCATTTCCCTTACCAGCATCCCCAGAAAAACTTTCGAGCGGGTTATCAAAGAAGAAATCCTGAACCATCCTTGGCTCAACAACCTTTCCCGTTTTCAGCACGGATTTCTACCTAGCAGATCCTGCATCACCAATATGCTGACTGTCATGGAAAACCTGAGTAAAGCCTACAATTTCGGCAAGATCTCTCATGCCATATTCACTGATTTGGCGAAGGCGTTTGACAAGGTCCCACACATCCCTCTTCTACAAGCTTGCAGCACACGTAATTGTAGACCCCCTGTTAGCAGTTATTGGTAACTTCCCTTCTTGTCGCTCGTTCGCTGTGCAGGATGGTAAATCTTCATCGCAACCTGGCTCAATCATAGCTGGTGTTCCACCTCCTCTTATTTATTTATATAAATGACGTGTAATTAAATATTGCGATGTACTCCGATGATGTCATCATCTGGGATACAGACTCCCCCTCTTCTACAGGCCTCAGTTGATGCTACCAAACACTGGTCATTAGACCGGAACCTTCCAATCAACAGCGAAAAATGTTGGCATGTCATTCAATGGTTGCCCACCCTGCAACTTTACGATAAATATACCCCAAGTGGACCAATACAATGCCTTTGGTGTCTGGTTAAACAGCAACCTGTTCTCTTATCCCAACCACTTAGCCAGTAAGGCCGTTTTTCATAAAAAGAAGTTTCTAAAGGACGAGTTTCCTCTTATCACAGCACCCACACCCGCCAAGTTGCGTACCGGTCTCATCCGAGATCGTGTCTCCCGAAAACGTAGCACATCGGCTGCGAAGAGCTACTTATGAACTACATCAGCTAAATTTGTTATTAAACGGTAATTAACCTATAAAACGCATTTAAATAAGCCTTCTGATAATTAATTATATCAAATAACTATTATTTTTTGTGTCTTAATTCCGTGGTCAATTGCGTTCTAATCGGTGCGTAAAATGTGCTGAAGTCCATGGAGAGATAGTAAATCCATGTGAAATTATGGGGCTATTTGGGGATTAGAGACGGGACAAGGCGGAAAGTTAAAAATGGGACTTTCTGCAATGTAGCTCATTGACGCCGGTTATTGGCGCGCTATTAGCCGACTAATGGGCTACAAATGCACTACAGTTTTGGTGCCGTAGCTCAAATTAGCCGGCTTTTAACCGACCAGAGGGCTGCTACAAAATCCGTACCTTAAATTAGGGATCGCCCGTCCGTTAGAACTTAAACACATTAGGGGAGATCTATTGCTCCTCTATCATCTTTTCGACACAGGTACTGTCGAAACCTTTATCATCGCTGACTCTAACCCTCCCGAGATTCAAGCAAAACGCTTTCGAGCCCCGCCCGCGAACTATCTTGCTTGCCTTTTTTCCGCTTTCAGAGTGATATCCACATGAAACGCTCTCTCTGAAGAGAAAGTCAGCCCCCCCCCCCCCAGTAAGGGGATTTTCGAACCACCTTGACCGTTACCACCAATTTTAATACATGAAACTTTAAAAAATTGTTTTTATATGGTATCCTCTTTATTCTACCACATGCAAGTTCCTATTCTAATCACGCCGATAAAATTTCCTCTCTTTTGCTTGGTTGTCAATCCCATATGCCAGCGATGCAATCCATATTAAGTCGGTAATGTATTGTTTTTTTTTCAAAAAATTTTTACACGTAGATGAGAGATTCATTTCTGCAAAACCATTCATATTCGTTATCTTCACAAATGTGGCTTTGTTGAGCTGAATCAACTTCTCCCTAGTTTTCGTCGTAAATTTTGTTTCATCCTTCCATTTTTATGCAGTGTCTGAATTTGCATTTCGTTTTGTTTGTCATTCAACTAAACTCCTCGTTTTCCAGTCGTAATATATCGTTGGCTCTCATTCATGTGGTACTTCTTGTCTTTAGCTTATTTGTTGTTTATCATGGATGTTGCTCCGAGTGTCAGTCGCTATCTAGAAGAGAAGGTTTCGAACTCAGGAGCTTTTCAGACAGATTGGTCTGAGTTGCGGGACCTATATACAAGAAAGTGAGTGCATAGAATTTTCATTTTTGTGGTATTATTTTAATTTTAAGTGATAAATCAACTTACCAACTGTAAGAGAAGGGTATGTCGAATAAGTCTAAAGTTCTCAGTTGGCTGATGTTATTAGTTGCATAGAACAAATTTCCCAGTTGGTTAATTTCCCTCTTAGTTCTGTCCTCTCTCAGAGAAGCGGAAATACCAGTCACATCCCGTAGTCTTGTAGCCTTAGTTTTGTCTTCCAGCCGATCAGGAAGTTCACTTTCATTTTATATAAGCACAAAACACTAACACCAAGTTTCGATAGGTTTCTTCAGTCGGTTTCCATCGGAGCATAATCGCCGTTAGGACAATTCATGAAACGAAAAAACCACACCTTGACGTGGTGTGATGACTTGCTTGCCTCCGTGACCCTGCGAGATACACAGGATAACTTTTCACAGCCGTAGATTCAACCATGCCTGGAAGGTCAACGGGTAGAGACTAGACGAAGCTCAGTCTCACGAGGCCAGGTGCCCAAGCTGCTGGCCTCCATCGATCCCCACCCGCCCCTGTAGAGGCCACTGTAGCAAATGAGTGAGAGGCAGTTTACCGGTCGAAAATACCCCGCTAGATGGACTTAGAAGCGGGGTACCTGGGGCTTCCTCTCGACAGTGGGAGAAGTCTTCGCACTTCATTGGACAGCTACCGTCCGCCCAAGCTGGGCAGCCCCCAGCCAATAAGGTGCTGTTCCGTTCATGTTCCGCTTGTCTCAATAAGTACATAAGGCTAAGGGCCGATCCCGAAAAGCGAACCGATAACGTACCAACGAACAACACAGTTAATCGAAATTCAAAGGCCTTGTGTGACAGGTCTCTAGAAGCTCCCACACGGGTGCTTCGTTCACGCTCCCGCGTTGGATTTACACTCTACTGCCTTGTGAGTCAGACGTTTAAGTCGAAGGCTCCGGTTAGGGTTCCCAAAGAAAAACCCCTTCGTCGGTGTGGGCAACCGCGAAGTATGCAGTGCCCTAAAGTCTTAGGCACCCATTTGGAAAAACCTCTTTCCGATTGATCTAGTTCTTCCTCTCAATCCCGAAGAACCCCAGACGCCTGTTTACGCCACCCGTCGAATATCACACAGCGTTTTACCAACAAGCCCAAACAACCAGAATTTACGGGATTCTTGAAGCCAAAATTTCCTTTTCACTTAGCCGCGTTTAATGCCCGCACACTGCCAGATTGGTCAGCAAGCTGCCTTGGCTAGAACCCTTGAAACTTTCAATTTAGATGTATGCTGTCTCCAAAACACGCATACAAGACTCTACTTCAATCATTTCCCTACGTTCTCCTAACCCAACCTCGACCTCACACTTCATCCTCCTTGTGTCAGGCGATTCAGTATCCGAAGCTCGCGGTGTTCCTGGTGTTGGCATTGCACTGAATGCCAAGGCTGAGCGCTCGCTTCTTGACTGGATTCCAGTCAGTAGCCGACTATGAACTGTACGTCTCAACGGGTCAACAGCTACAGAACGAAGCGTCGGTGCTTATTCGTCGATTGCAGTGCACCTTAAATGAAGGATGAGTTCTACAAGGATCTCGCTCAACTGCTCCAAAGTGCTCGATCAACAGACATCGTGGTAGTCGTTGGAGGCTTCAATGCTCAAGTGGGATCCCTGAACGAATCAGAAAGGCTTCTTGGCGGACCGTATGCAATCCCAGCCAACCGGACGGACAACGGAGCTCGCCTACTTCAGCTTTGCGCGGACCATGGATTGTTTCTGTCAAACACGAACTTCTCGCACAAAAAGCGACACCGCCTTAAATGAAAACCGCCAATCTCTTCGCTGCGCTGGACCCAAATCGACTATATCACCATCAGTTACCGCTGGAGACGGTCCATTCAAGACTGCCATTCTTACTGTTCCACACTTGTGGATACCGATCACGCTTTGCTACGAGCCAAGTTCTCCTCACACCTGGCAACCAACCGCAAGAAAGCCACCAACAACGTCATACAACGTCAGCGATTGCTGCAAATCGGCCTTCGAAGCGGAACTCTCCGATCGTCTATCAGCTCAAGCACCAACCGAAGGGCTTGATGAACACTGGAAGCAAATCAAGTAAGCTATGCAAATTTCAATAAAAACAACGTCGGACCCTGCCGCAAGCTCAAAACACCAACGATGAATCTCGTCGACCTCAACTACCCTGTTGGACGCCCGCAGAACCCTCTCTCCGGATGCCACGTATGACAGCGCGCAAATCCCTCAAACGCCAGCTCATCAAGAGTCTGCGGAATGACCGCGGAAGTGGTGGATAGGAAAGTGCAGAGAGATGGAGAGGGCTGCAACTATTGGTAATAGTCGTAATCTTTTCCGTCTAATTAGGAATACGGGCCCTAAAAAGATTGGCGTATGTGAGGTAATTAGGAAATCCGATGGCACACTGATTCACGATCAGAAACGCCGTCTTAGCCTTTGGGCTGAATATTTCAAGGCTCAGTTCAACTAGCCCCATCGACATCTTTTCGCCCGGGTTCATCACGGAAAGTGGTGTTAGTCAGGGTTGCTCTCTCTCTCTCTCCATTTCTATTTAACTTTGTTAGAGATCTGATTATGGAAACAGCCCTATCCTCGTGCGAGGATAGTGGCATCGATTTACTCCCAGGTGGCAGGCTGTCTGATCTGGAGTACGCAGACGACATTGTGCTACTAAGTGAAGATCCAGGTAAGTTGCTAGCATTTCTGGATAACTTGGATGCCAGTGTAACCATGTTCGGTATGCGTTTTGCACCTTCAAAGTGTAAAATGTTACTTAAAGACTGGGTTGGTCCAGCACTCAGCCTCACTCTTACTGGAGAAGTAATAGAGCAGGTGGATAAGTTCTGTTATTTGGGCAGCTACATCTCACCCGGTGGACGCATCACGGATGAAGTGTCAGCTCGCATGCAGAAGGCTCGGTTGGCACTTGCCAACTTGAGACACCTGTGGCACCGTCGCGACATCCGGCCGTCTGTGAAGGGTCGAGTGTATGCTGCGGCAATTCTGCTATACCGCGCAGAAACTTGGCCATTAAGGAAACAGGATAAAGACAGGCTGTCGGTGTTCGAACACCGCTGTCTACGCAGCATTGCACGAATCTGGTGGGGTAGCCGGATGAGCAATGCTGAGGTTAAGCGTAGAGTTTTAGGCATTCGCGGTCGTCCACTGAAGCAAGTGATCCACCTCCATAGATTACGTTGGTTGGGGCATGTGTTACACATGTCACCAAATAGGTTGCCACGGCGAGCGATGCTCGACGAGACAGGTAGTGGGTGGAAGAAAGTCAAGGGTGGTCAAGCTAAGACCAGGCTTTAGGGTATGAAAACCCTAACCAGGAGTCTGGGTCACATAGGTCCCGTTAGGCTCCCTGGATGGGGACCTCGGGATGGTTGTCTCCGATGGTTAGAGACACTGAATGATATGGCTAGGTGTCGTAAACAGTGGCGTTCGTGTATCTTGTCGATTTCTCTGCAAAATTAGTGCATTGAAATCCTGAATTTTCTCTTCGATCCTACTTTCAACCTTTTCAGTCTTTCTCCTCTTGTTCATCCAAATGGACAGTCGAAAGATAGCAACCAATACCGGCACACGTCAGTGCACGGTTAATGGTTGTAGAAACTGAACTGAAAACTTAATGATCTCATTGTATTGCATGAACCAGCTTGAAAATGTTAGAACAGCATTTCAGTCGTGGGAGAAAACCCACTGGCAAATCAAATTGTGAGTTAAAATTATCAATGTAAGAATTAAAGCGTCAACTACTGAGGTTAGGTGAAACCTTGTATTATATGAGAGTGGTGGATTGTTTTATTTGTTTGTATGGCGAATTCCGTCGTGTAAAGAGAAAAACAAGTATGAACTGTGAAGCTGTTTCTACCAGGTTGGCGCTACTGCCTCAGCACGGAGCCTGTACGGTGACATGCATAATTTATGTCCCAGCTATGATAACATACAGTGGCCACAGATTTCCGTTTTTGGTTGCCCCACCAAATTCTTGTTATGCTGCATGGAAGCCGATGTTCGAACACCCTTGGTGTCTATTTATCTTCAATCCGCTACACTTCGTTGCATCAATCAGATTAGTCTTGCAGTTGGATGTGGCGCTGTATGTGTGCGTGTCTCAAGTTAACTAACCAATGAAGATTTCTGTATGCGTGCCAATATCTCATCCAGAATTAATCAACTAGGAGAGATTTTACTCTGCACGGAGCCAAGTTTATCGGCATCGAAGCAGCGATCAGCGAAGTTCGCTTCACTGTATCTCGCTGTGCGATGATGATGACGAAGTCGTACAAGCCACGCTAAATCTTTTCATCTATGTTCATGAATCCACACACTATATGATCGAAATTATCATTCCATGTTAGTCAATATCTAAACTGCTGGTGTTATGATTTCACCAGGTCATTGCCGAAATGGTTGAGGATAAATCGGGTTGCATAGAACGCAGCATGTAATCTGAAACAGTCAGTTCATGGCTTCACGTAAGCCTGTTGATCAGCAGTCCAATAGTTCCACGGTCCGTTCGCATCTTCTGTTTCTACACTAATGAATTCACTGATCCACCAACCGCTTCCCCATGTGCACGCCAAATACTACTCACTAATATTGATGTGATTACAGCTTTACGACAGTAGTCTTTTTGGTCTTTTTTCTTGAGCTGCCAGAACACAAGCTCTAAAATGCGGATTCCGTGGGTGTTCAAGCTAAATTGATTGTTTTTATCAGCGTCATCATTGCTTAATTGTCAGAATAACAGAATCGGCAACAAAGTGTTACAACATCGCACATTTCTCTCGTACCTCTGAAACTTTTGCTTGTCAAACGTTTTCCCTCTAGATTATGGCATCAACTGACATTAAAACTTCAAAGCTGTTTCAAAATGGCCACTTTCAAAGCACAAACAGATCTTGTTGAAGTAAGTCCATAACTCATTGACGTCTCATGTCTGCAGTTGAATGAATCTTTTCTGAACGACTTCAAAAACAAGTGAGTTCAGGTCGAATTTTCTCAAAACACCGCGATTTATTTTTCTCTTTCTTTATAGAATCAATCCATTATCTCTAGCCGAATTGTCCGTCCACATTAGCGAGCAGCTAGTGGCAACAGGTAAATTGTTTTCTTCCTTTCGGCGTGGATTTTTGTGTTCGATAGATCCCATGAAGGGTATCAAGTTTATGGAAGATATCCGGGACAAGGTTCGTTCGTTTTTGGTTGATGAAGTTTTTACCAAAATCCTCTCTCTCCCCCACCCCACCTACACGTGTATGTAGTATGCACAGAAGTCAAAGGAGGCTAGTGTTCTGTGCAATACCACGATTGGCATGATTTACTTGGCCAGCATGAATGATTTGGTGAATGCCAGGAAGGTTATCGAAACTACTGGTGCTCAACTGGATCAAATGGGCGGAGTGACCTGTGTTCACGCCAGGTTTTATCAGCTCAGTTCACGTTATTATCAGGTAACTTTTTTTCACATTGCCATTTCATTGTTCTTAAGAGCACTGTGTGTATCCATCTTATCACGCCATGCCTGTTTTGCGTGTGTGTGTGTGTGTGCTCCGTCAAAGGTCCACGCGCGGCCTTTTCGGTGAGACAACTGATAGCCATTAGTTCGGGTGACAGTGACTACACACCGAAGAGCCCCGTGTTTGTTGATTTCTGTCCTGCAAATCCGTTCCGTGGAGCACATAAACAAAATCTCAGTTCTGTTTAATATTCGAATACTAACTCTTCTGTGGCTGTCAAAAATGAGGTGGGCTGTGCAAAACGAAGAACCGAAGTTAAGCAATTTTAGGAACATTATTTTTTCATAGTCTTTGCCTAAATTTATGTATATCCATACGATTTGAATCTATAACCATGGTTCATGTCCTAGTTACGCTGCGCTATCGGTTCGTATTTGTACATGCATACTGATTTATTCTACCGCTCGGGTGTCACTCAAGGCCTGTCCACATGTGATTTTCGTGAACGACAAGCCTTTTACAGTTGTGTTCGATTGCATATCATTCGATGCCTTTCCACCCACCTGTGCATAAAGAAACCTGAACTTAATGTAGTTCGTATCGGTTCATTTTTCTTCTTTGAAAACATCGGTTTACACGTTAGAAGTTCGTGATGAAATTACTGCTTATTACACAACAGTATGATCAATATCGGAGAGCTTAACTCTCATAATCATTGGAACATTGTGTCCAGTCATGGAAGCCTAGACCTTGGAACATGATGTAATGATTAAGATAAACACAATATTGGGCCACCCAAAAACGAACTCAAAATCTCAAAATTTGTGATCGAACTTCAGACATTCGCTTTTGACGAACGAGAGTGATTGAGACGCAAACCGCTCAACCACCATCTCCTCAGTGGTGGATTAATTGTACAGAGTCAACCTACCTGGAAGCACCAGGCAACTACTGCTTCGTCCATGTTGCAGATCATCAGAGGTGTGCATATCCCTTGGGGGACTTTCATCCGGATTGCATGATCCGAGATTACGTGCTCACTAGACTTTTAATGCCTTCTAGTGATCGGTGGTTGTGAAGAAGACGATTAATTTGTGTAAAGAATCAGATACGCTGAGTTTTGATCAACATATTGAACCAAGTTTTAAAAGTATCCTCGGAAAGGTAAAAAGAAGTATCGTGGGAGGCACAGATAGATTGTTTATTTTGTTTATTGTTTTGTAGGATAACATCTAGGTGAAATACCTCTGAGACGAGGTTAGTATTTCTGTTGACTATCACAATAAATCTTTTCTGTCTGTTGGACAGAGAAAAACTAGGACTCGTTAGTTTTTTGAGAGCGCGTGATACGAAATTAAGTTTGAATATGTACTGCAGTTATATACCGCACATGCTCAGTCAACTACGCATAATGAGTATGTCGTGAAAATGGCGCTGTTTCTGGGTGGAATTCATGAGTTTATCCAACGATGAAACCAAACAAAGACAACTTAGACGATTATTTTCGAAAAGTTCATGTTTTCGAAATAATTTCCGTGTTTCTTAACTTTTTTCATCCAGTTGCGACTAGGATGTTTTGGCTATCAGGACCCGCGTGATTTCCTGTCATCCACAACACCATTCGAATTGAGCATTGACCTGCTTTATGTTAATTGGTTACCCATGTGTGGAATGCAAACACCATCAGATCATCTCTTCTCCAAGGATTGTCTCATTTTTCTGCTTTTTCACTTCCTCTCTATTAGGTTACTGGGCAGCATGCCGAATATTATAAAGAAGCTCTGCGATTTTTGGGTTGTGTTAGCCTGGATGAGCTAACACAAAATGAGCAACGTGCTTGGGCATTCTCCGTCGGCTTGGCCGCCATTCTAGGGGAAAGTGTCTACAATTTCGGTGAACTGGTAAGTTTATCAGTAAATTGATCAATTGGTGGTATAAATGTCAAGATGTGATTCTGGATGTAATCAAACCGTACTGTTTTTGCATCTGGCTACTTGATGGTATTCAGTAGTATAAACGTGGTCATGCAATTTGTATGTAAATGTCATTTCTGAGAATGATAAATGAAAAAATTCGAATTTGGCTGACCTCTGAGATGACCGACTGATGTTGGATGTTTCCCTCTCTCTCTCTCTGTCGATCTGTGATTTTTTTATTTTAATTTCCTAAGTATGGTTTGAAATGGTGATTCCTGTGTTTACTAATATAAGCGAATCCTTGGTGAGAAATAAGTTCAGTTAGACGGAATTAATTGTTCACAATGAGCTTGTAACCATGATTTATGTTATGTCGTGTACAGTCAAAGTAAGGGTTAGTTTGATCAGGTGTCCCCGATTAGTCAACAATTGAAAGTTTCTGATTTTTTTCATTTTGGACAGGGTGATACGTATATTTCATTTTTGTATGTGTCCATTTAGTACATGTTATATCGTATTTGTTCCCCAAAAGACGTTTACTATATTGTTATCTCACTTCTCTGATCATCTAGGCGAATGAATTCGTTTTAATTTGCCACTTGCGACGTTTTTCACGGTTCTGTTTCTTTTCATTCTCAGCTTACTCACGACATTTTGAACAGTTTGCGAGACACACCGGACTCTTGGCTGATCGATCTTTTGAATGCATTCAATCGGGGCGACTTGCAGCAGTTGGAAGCGCTGAAAAGTCAATGGAGTAGTCAGGCTGACCTGGTAGCCGCGGAATCTCGACTAACGGACAAAGTGAAATTGTTATGTCTCTGCGAGTTGATTTTCCGTCGACCGGCGAACAAAAGAACGTTAACTTTCTCTGAAATCTCCGAGGCTACCCGAGTATCGCATGATCAGGTTAGTTTCACCTGGTCACCCGATTTGTCCGGTGTATACATCTTGATCTTTGTCTGCATTTTATATGTAGCAAATAATATTACCATAGGAAATAGAGCGAACACTCACAAGTTATGGTATGTTGGAGCCAATAAATTTGGAAAGAAGAAGGTGCCACTTACGAGCATTTTGCAAACTCATCTTGTTTCTTCATTCGTCAGCAAAACGATCACCCAAAAAGCAGAAACTATCATCAGTTCAAGGAATTGCAAGGCTGTTGATTGAACAAAAGGAAACTGAAACATGTAGAAGACAAGTAAAGACGGAACATTTAACTGTCACTGTTTCCACAACACTGCTAGTTTGGTAAGGCAATCGGACCTATGATTGTGTTACATGATAGACAGTGCTGAGACAGGCTGTGGAGGTGTATGTTGTTTTTCAGTTAGTATCAATATGAGTTCCTCAATTAGAAATTGGTAGCATCGTTCCGCTTGTGTATCCCCTTATTTTCCCCATCTAGCTTGACATGTTTTCTACCTCCTTGCAACTGGTTTCCTGGATCACAATGGACCATAGAGATTTTCGGTAATAGTCGCATTCCCTAGCACTGTTCGTCCCTTTTATTCGAGATAGTGCTTGTGGTTTTTACCAAAGTTTGTTATAAAGAGGACCATCTTATTCCTTGATTTATTTCCTGTGAAACAGATCGCACACGGGTACTGTCGTTCTGCGTATTGTTGAGCGAACATGTCGCATTCTTCCTGTGGGTAATAACTGTTTCATGTGCCTTGTTATAGTATGGGATCATTCGTTGCACACGAATCAATACTGTACAACAAGTGACCACTGTGTCCAGTACTATTAGGACCATTTCTTTAGACACCGTTCCAGGTTTTCCTGTTTCTTTATCATACACAATGTCACAGTGCATGGTATAACTGATCTGCCGCAGAGGCTATCGTTTAGTGCAGATACTCGTCAGCATTTATCCCGAAATTCAGAGTAGCGAACCACTTCCGATCCGTCAAAATAGTTGGGCCGTGTTGCACTAAACAACAGCAAAGCTGTAACCTCTTCCATTACACTAACATGGTTGAGGCCACTCAATCACCAACCCCAATTGTCGTCAAACTACATCATCCGGCTGGTTTACTTGTTTTCTATAGATGCGCATTTGTATCGTTCATCAACTAAACTTCACACCTTTGTTGTCACTCTCCCTCGTCAGCTGGAACATTTTCTAATGCGTGCTCTGTCTCTGGGCTTGATCAAAGGACGAATCGATGAAGTAAATCAGACTGTGTGTATCACTTGGCTAAAACCCCGTGTGCTCGATCGAGAACAGGTAGGTTCCGTCGTCTGTCCCATCAAAGGGCAGCTGGTTATCATTTTTTGGTGGCTGTTTTACATATGTTAACGTGTCCCTGATTGTTTAATTGATAGTGTTTTGGCTACCCCATTGGGGCGTGTATAGCTCTCATTCTGTTCTGTTGTGTCCCGCTTTGGTTTTATTGTGTGTGTTAACCACTTTGTCTCTCTTCCTTCTCTCCCCCGCCCCACCTCTTTTCATCGAATTACACTCCAGATTGGAAGCATGCGTGCCCGACTTACCGAGTGGTGTAACTCCGTTTCCAGTATGAAAAATTTGGTTGAAGTTGATGCCAAAGCTATCCTTGCCTAACATAATACTGTTCGGTCCTAATGGAGATACTGTTGATGCTGCTGGTGTTTGAAATATGTAAAGCCAAACTCGTTTTGCCCAATGCCTCTTTTCTGCTTTCTCCAGTTACATCGGAAGGGCTTCTCGAAATGACAAGTGAATATATACTTGGACTTGTTATGGGAATAGATAGACTTTATGTGGATTCGATGATGTGTGCGCCATCCTTTGAGAAATTATGGCC